GATCACATATTTCTAACATATAATGGCACAGGATATACATTACCATTCCAAAACATAGGGAAGGGAACATAGTAAGGAAATATTGGGCCAAAGCAAGACAGAAAAACAGCTGGGTGAACTCCAAATTCTTCAACTTCATGTCTGATGTTGAAGCACTCTTCAGATCTTTAACTCTTCCTTCCAGCTTTGTTGACTGCAACACATTTCTTTCTCATGGTCTGGTTCCACTCCCTGACAGCAGCTTTCCTCTTCAGGTATCCCATGACTCTGGCATCTCTAACCTCTTGGGGTCTCCAAGACAACCCAAAATTCACTTTTCCAGCTTCACACAATGACCTTTCACAGCTTTACAAATGGCCTCACTGGGCCTTCATGCAGGGATACTCCTACAACACACCTAGTCTCAGTAGCTTTCCTTAGTCATAGAGGGAAATTCCATCCTTGATTCTAAATCCAGAACCATATGGCCAAAGCTGCAAAGTTCTACTGCTTTCTGGGGCTGAAACATGGCCCCCTTGTTCAATTACAACTTCACCAGCTTTCTATTTTTGACTATTTCTTTTACTGTCTAATTTTGGCTGTCTTGGAACTTGTTCTGTAGACTGACCTTGAACTCAGAGATCTTGATGCCTGTCTCCTGAGTGCTGAGATTAAAGGTATGTACTACCATGCCTACCTAAGACCTGGACCTAAGATTTCCTTTAATTCTTTAATTCTTTCTTTCTTTCTTTCTTTCTTTCTTTCTTTCTTTCTTTCTTTCTTTCTTTCCTTCTTTCCTTCCTTCCTTCCTTCCTTCCTTCTTTTCTTTCTTTTTTTAATGAGATGCAAGCTTAGCTGAATGGTATATTGTCCTGAGGTCACCATTCCCTTAATTTTACTTAATCCCCTTGAACACAAGATTTAGCTCCATTCCACTTCCTGGTGCATCTTTAATCCTTGGACCATACATTTTGTATTTTTTCTTTCTTAGATTGCTATGTTTCATCAAAATGCACCACACTTCATAAGGGTGAACCACAGACTAGACTGTTTTCAGATTTCCTTTGCCAATGCAATTAATCTAAATCTCTTTACCTTTGCCTCAGGCAGACTGTACAAAGGCAAAACAAACCACATTCTTCACCAAAATATCACAAGAATAATTTCTAGGCAACATACTAAAAGTCTTTTCCTCTTAAACCTCTTGAGCCAGGCCTCCACAATTACCCTTAGCACCACTTTCTTCCATGTTTATACTAGGATGGCTCATTAACCCCACTTAAAGCATTCCATTCCTTTCCACTCCAATCTTCTAAAATTCACATTCCTCTGAGCAAAAACCTGGATATGCTTGTCCCAGTTTCTGGTACCAATCTCTGTCTTAGCTTGGGTTTTATTGCTGTGAAGAGACAATATGACCACTGTAACTCTTATAAAGGAAAATGTTTAATTTGGAGTTGTCTTACAGTTTCAGAGGTTTAGTTCATTGTCATCATGGTGGGAAGTATGGCAGCATGCAGGCAGACTTGGTGCTGGAGGAGCTGAGAGTTCTACATCTTGATCCCACAGGCAGCAGAAAGAGACTGGATTCCACACTGGGCAGAACTTGAGCATAGGAGACCTCAAAGTCCACCCCACAGTGACATACTTCCTTCAACAAGGCTATTCTCCATGAACCAAGTATTCAAACACATGCGTATTAGGGGGCCATAACTATTCAAATCACCACAGTTGTCCAAGTCTGGCTTAATCAGCATGATACCCTTTAGTTCCACCCATTTTTCTATAATTAAAATTATTTAATTCTTCTTAATGGAATAGAGTTCCATGTGTATATGTACCACATTTTCTTTATTTATTAATCCACTGATGGGCACCTTGCCTGGTTATTGTGTACAGTGTAGCAATAAACATTTATGTATAGGTATTTCTGTAGTATATGACTTAGAGTGTAGAAATGGATTGTATCATAATTCTATTTTTAGGCTTTTTGAGGAACCTTTGTACTGTTAAGTAGTAGCTGCCCAAGTTCATATTCCCAGAAGCAGTGAACAGAGTCACTCTTTTTGCCCATGCATCATCATCAGAGTTTACTGTGATTTGTTTTCTTGATGATAGACATTCTGAGTGGGGTAAGGTGGATTGTCATGGCAGTTTCAGTTTGTATATTCCTGATCTATAAAGATAATGAACATACTTTCTGTAAATTCTTTCAGCCATTAATATTCCTTCACTGAGAATTGTCTGTTCAACTCATTTATTAGTTGGATGATTTTGTGGGTGTATGTTTTAAGTTGGGTGACTTTTGGTACAATTATGACAAGTTTTCTAATTGCACTAAAGGGGACAATGAGTAAGTTAGTACACTAATTATTGCTAATTGTCACATTAAGCATATTAATAAATGGACCAGACACAGTGCAAGCATCTGCATATGAACTGTTCAAAATTGGATATCAACTAGCTTGGGGCTAAATTCTAGATTTTGGAGGGTTCATTATCTTATCTGTAAGCAGTTGACAATACCTACAGAATATTATGTCAAATAAGAAGTAATAGCTTCTTATTGTTCCTGGAACCTACTGCACCATTAGCAAATAGTACAAATCATAGCATCTATTCTTAGTTTTTATTAGAAGCACTTTGGGGCCAGGGAGATGGCTCAGTCAGTAAAACAGTTGTTGCATAAGCATTAGGACATGAACTTGGATACCTAGCACCCACATTTAAAAAAAAGCTGAGCATGACAGTATGCATTGTAATCCTAACACTAGGGAACGGAGAGAGGCAGTTCCTTGCATCCCATTTTCCTGATAGTTTTGCCAAATTGGTAAGGTCTAGGTTCAGTGAGATATCCTGTTTCAAAACATGAAGTAGGGAGAAACTGAATGAGACACTTGATATTGACCTTTGGCCTTGACACATACATGTACTATGCATAAACATATACATACATAACACACATCCATCAACTGATCAATCAATTACATAAAAGCATTTTCATAGCACTCACCAATGAAGAGCTGGCTGTTGAGTTGTAGTCGAACATGTCCATCAGCAGGAGTGGGTTGTGTCTTCTGAGGGAGCTGATCTACCTGAAGTGATGCTCCCTTAACATTCCTTTCTGCCCTTACATGATGCCACCGGTTGTCATTAAAGGGAGTCGGTGACTGTATAGTGAGCTCACAAGGTCCATTCCCAACATCAAAAGAAAAGGTCACTTCTGTGGGAGCTAGAGACAATTATATATCCATATTTTTCAAGTTAATTCATAGAGAAGACATTGTAGTCTAAAATAGACATTAAAAATAAAACATGAAATGAAGCCCTGAGGGCCAGCAGAAAGAATGAAAACAGGCAACCTCAGGAGGTAGGAGGTGGGGGGACCCTCTAGAATATACCAGAGACCTTGGAGGTGATAGACTCTCAGGTCTCAAACAGAGGGACCTTAGGTGAAATGTCCTAAAGTGAGGAGAGGGAAATTGTAGAGTCCACCTCCAGTAGAAAGACAGGGCATCAAGTGGAAGGATGGGGTTACCATCACACAGTCAAAAACTCTGACCCAGAATTGTTCCTGTCTGAAAGAACTGCAGGGACAAAAATGGAGAAGAGACTGAGGAAAAGGAGGTTCTGTAACAGGCTCAAATCATGATACAGCTTAGGGAGCGGCCCCAAGGTCTGACATTAATTCTGATGCTATGGTATGCTTACAAACAGTAAGCATACATGACTGCCCTCTGAAAGGCCCAACAAGCAGCTAAAAGAGTCATATTGAGATATTTACACCCAACCACCCAACCAATGGACAGAAGCTGGTGACCTCTGTGATTGAATTAGGTAAAAGCTGGAAGAAGCTGAGGAAGAGGGAGACCCTAGAGGAAGATCAGCAATCTAAACTAACATTGACACCTGGGATATCTCAGATACTGAGCCACCAACCAGGCAGGATACACCAGCTGATATGAGGCCTCAAACATATATTCAGCAGAGGACTGCCAGATCTGGACTCAGTCAGAGAAGATATAACCCTCCAGAGACTTGGAGCCCCAGTGAGTGGAGAGGTCTGGTGTGGTTGTGGGGGTTGGGAGTTGGGAAAATCATTTTAGAGACCGGGGTGTCAGAGGAGGTTTGGTATGTGGAACAGTTGGTTAATGTACCTGGACTGTAAAAAAAAAAAAACGAATAATAAAAAAATGTAACCAATTGAGACATTCATCCTCCTGGACTGAACAAGTACTAGATTCTTACTCTTGTAGACCACATGGAACCATTGTTGGATTAGGGTTAGCACAACCTGTAAGCCATTATAATAAATCATTGCCTTTATACATATATAGAAAGACTCGGTGTGTAAGTTCTGCCCCTCTAGAGAATCCTGACAAATACAGGAGGTAAGAAAAAGAAAGAGATCATTAGCAAGTAGACTTGGGCGTACTGAGGTATGCAGCCATTTTTATGTTATCTTCTGAAATAAAATTACGATGCACTGGGTTGTACTCTACTTTTAATGTTTCTAGGGAGCTAAAATCACATTTTTCTTAGGTCAAGGTTGTGATGTGTACTCTTTGTTGTCTACTTGAAAGTATCTGGAAAGAACAAATATTTACACAAGTAGGACACACCTCTGAGATAGTGTCTGATTGAATTCTCTAAATGACTGCTTGCCAAGAACAGAAGGCTAGAAGACGTATACCTTTAAATCAGATCCTGAGCCAGGACAACCCACCTATAATCCTGGACACGCCTCCTGCTGAGGGTGTATATAAGGCCATGGAAGCAGGAAGGTTTTCATATTCCTCAGCTTGTCCTCAGCTTGTTCAAACATCTATCCCTACACTGGCACTGGACCCAACTATTCCAGTTTCCAGCCTATAGAGAAGACCAGCTGAGACGATCTGTCTTGTGGGATTGAGAAACTACAGGACTATTGAATTTCTAATTTTTAGCTAACTATTGTTGGATTGGCAGGACTGCAGCCTTTGGGGAACTTGAAGAGTTCCCAGGCCTTCTGTGAAGACTATATGGACATGGCAGAAAACACAGGTGCTTCCCAGCCAAGACTCTGTAATACTCAGCCTTCCCCTGCGGAGCCCAGCCAGGTTGTTTCAGGTCAGAGCTCAGAGATGCCTACCTGGAAACAAACAGTGGTGACATCTGCATCCTGTAGCACACAGGAGGCTGTCTGTACTCAGAACTCAACAGCACACGCAGGAAAAGCTTTTGAATTCCATTTTGGAGAGCCAAATGAGACGTCTTCTTTGAACCAGCAGAAAAAATTCCCTGCAGGCCCTCAGTTTATGCAGCTCAACGGCACCCCCAAGACTTGCCTCTCTCATCCCCAGAAGACAGCAGTACTTGACATCAAGGATACTCTCAACAATGAAGGCTACTGGGTGAGGACACTGAGCCCTGACAAGACTGTCTTGATCCAAAATACAGGCTTGTGTGAGAGTCAGACGATTACCTCTGGTGATCATCAAATTGCTCTCTCTGGAAGCCATGCAGGCCATGACTCAAATGTGGATCACTCCCTTCCTTCTATAAACGACCAGACCCTCAGTGGTGACCTTGAGATGACTTTCAAAGATGACCAGACCTCCTACTACAGTCAGCTGACAACCAGAGATGGAGGGCTTCTGAGTCTCTACGGGAATCAGATGACAGCACCCAATTATAGCCAGGCCCTTCATCCCAGTCAAATCCTAACCTTTTCTGAACAGAATCCTTTGGGGGATTTGAAGAGGAACCTAATAGCTGATAATAGATTCTATGGAGATCAAATGATAACTCCCAATGGATATCAGATTTTCTATGAGCCCCAGAAGATAGATAACTGTGACCAGATAAAGCATGACTATCAGATGACATCCTTCAGTGGTCAGAATGTCTGCAGAAGTCAGGAGAATTTCTTCAGTGGTGAGTACTCCCTCTCTGGGTATCAGACATCAGGCTACAGATGTGACCAGAATTTGACTGAGAATCACCAGGTGACAAGTCCAATTGGTGTCCAGCTTCTCTATGACTTTCAGATGCCAATCTCCAGTTTTGACACAACTTTTCATGGGACTAAGAGGACAACATCCAGTGCAGAAGACAACCTGGATTGTCATCCAGAGACAAGTCCCAGTTCTGAAGAGACATTCTACTTGGGTCAGATGAGGATCTCTGTTGATCACAATGTCTGCCCAAGTCAGAATGGAACACCCAAAATTGAAGAAAGCCTTGATTCTCTGGTGACTTCACTTAGCAACCAAGCCCCATATGTGGGTGAATCCTCATATACTTTAAGTTTCCCTGTGATACAAAGACAACCTCAGGAAAGCTCTTCACCTTCTGGTTTGATCCAAGGACAGCATCCAGAGATGAAATTAGACCTCAAGACCCAGAGCCCTGTGTCCCAGAAGACCTGTTGTCCTTTGAAGCGCTACTACTGTACCTACCAGGATTGTAAGAAATCTTACACAAAGTCTTACCACCTTAAAGACCACATGAAGAAACACACTGGTGAGAAGGCTTATGCATGCAATGAGCCTGGATGCACATGGAAATTCTTCCGCTTATGTGATCTCAACAGACACAAAAAAAAGCACAGTGGGGTGAGGCCCTACCCATGTCTCAAGTGCAACAAAAGATATTCCAGATTGAATTATCTCAATCAGCATCTGAAGAGCCATACTCAAGCATCACACACCACTGCAACCTAACTGTCAACAAACAATATCTTCCCTTAAAAAGTTTTATTGTTTCTTACCTACAACTCTGTGAACAACAAATAGATTTTAATGTTGTTTGTAGATGACAAAACAAACAAATCAATAAACATTTAGAATAAGAAACTGTACCATGTGATCCTCAGACCTCTTATTTTGCATGGGGAAATCTTCTTAACTTAACCTTTTTAATGAGAGTATAACCTTATTTCTGTAACAAATTTTGGATTATTGTAGTTTGGACTAAGATGGTATAGGAATATAAAAATTAAGACATTGCTGAAAGTATAATTGTACACTGAATCGGATCAATATTTCTCCCATGTTATCTTTACCCTCAAATTTTGTTAACATTTTTAGTTATGTATGCCAGTTAAGGCTGTAAGACCATTGCATAAATTAGGACTATGATTGACATGATTTATACTGGTATATTTGGTTGAGAATGTATTTATAAAGACACATACATTTTTTCTGGATTTATAATTGCTACATTTCTTTTTTTTTTTTAATGGATGATTTATTTACATTTCCTATGTTGTCCCCTTACCCCATCCCCCACCACCCCTTCGGAACCCCCAATCCCCTGGCCCCTCCTCCTTCTTCTCTGTGGATGTAACCTCTATCTACCCCCCCACTCCCACCTCCCCACCCTCAAAATTCCCACCCCCTGGGGCATCCAGCCTTCATGAGGTCAAGGTTCTCTTCTTCCACCTATGCCTAGCAGGGTCCTCCACTTTTACATATTCAGCTGAAGCCCTGGATCCCCCCCTAAGTGCTCCCAGGCTGGTGGTTTAGACCCTGGGAGCTCTGATTGGTTGGTATTGTTGCTCTCCTCATGGGGCTGCAAACCCTTTCAGCTCCAACAGTCTTCACTCTAACTCCTCCATTGGGAACCCCATTATCAGTTCAATGGCTAGTTGTGAGCATCTGCCTCTGAATATGTCAGACTCTTGAAGACCTCTGAGGAGACATCCATATCAGGCTCTTATCAGCATGCACTTCCTGACTTCCACATCAGCAACTACCTTTGGTGACTGCACATGGGATGGATACTCATGTGGAATGGTCTTCAGATGGCCCCTCCTTCAGTTTCTGTCCCTCACTTTGTCTCCATAATTGCTCCCTTGAGTATTTTGTTGCTCCTTCTAAGAAGGACCGCATCACCCCCACTTGGTCTTCCTTTTTCATGAGCTTCATGTGGCCTGTGAGTTGAATCTTGGCCATTTCAAGATTCTGGGCTAATAGAGTGAATACCATGTGTGTTCTTTTGTGATTCGCTTACTTCACTCAGGATGATAATTTCTAGTTCCATCCATTTACCTAGGAACCTCTCGAATTCATTGTTTTAATAGCTGAGTAATACTCCATTGTGTAAATATACCACATTTTTTGAATCCATTCCTCAGTTGAAGGACATCTGGGTTCTTTCCAACTCCTGGCTATTATAAATAAGGCTGCTATGAACATAGTTGAGCATATGTCCTTGTTATATGTTCGAGCATCTTCTGGGTATATGCCTAGGAGTGGTATAGCTGGATCCACGGGTAATGCTATGTCCAATTTTCTGAGGAACCGCCAGACTGATTTCCAAAGTGGTTGCACCATCTTGCAGTCCCACCAACAATGGAGGAGTGTTCCTCTTTCTCCACACCCTCGCCAGCATCTACTATCACCTGAGTTTTTAATCTTAGCCATTCTGACTGGTGTGAGATGGAATCTCAGGGTTGTTTTGATTTGCATTTCCCTGACGACTAAGGATGCTGAACATTTCTTTAGATGCTTCTCGGCCATTCGAGTTTCTTCCGTTGAAAATTCTTTGTTAAGCTCTATACCCCATTTTTTAATAGGGTTATTTGGTTGTCTGGAGTCTAATTTCTTGAGTTCTTTGTATATATTGGATATTAGGCCTCTATCAGATGAAGGATTGGTAAAGATCTTTTCCCAATTTGTTGGTTGTCGTTTTGTCCTATTGACAGTGTCCTTTGCCTTACAGAAACTTTGCAATTTTATGAAGTCCCATTTGTCAATTCTCGATCTTAGAGCATATGCCATTGGAGTTCTGTTCAGGAACTTTTCCCCTGTGCCCAAGTATTCGAGGCTTTTCCCCACCTTCTCTTCTATTAGTTTCAGTGTATCTGGTTTTATGTGGAGGTCCTTTATCCACTTAGACTTGAGCTTTGTACAAGGGGATAAGAATGGATCAATTTTCATTCTTCTACATGTTGTCTTCCAGTTGAACCAGCACCATTTGTTGAAAATGCTGTCCTTTTTCCACTGGACAGTTTTAGCTCCTTTGTCAAAGATCAAGTGACCATAGGAGTGTGGGTTCATTTCTGGGTCTTCAATTCTATTCCATTGATCTTCCTGCCTGTCTCTGTACCAATACCAGGTAGTTTTTATCACTATTGCTCTGTAGTACAGCTTGAGGTCAGGGATGGTGATTCCTCCAGGAGTTCTTTTATTGTTGAGAATAGTTTTCGCTATCCTGGGTTTTTTGTTATTCCATATGAATTTGAGAATTTCCTTTTCTAACTCTGTGAAGAATTGAGTTGGGATTTTAATGGGGATTGCATTGAATCTGTAGATTGCTTTTGGCAAGATGGCCATTTTTATTATATTAATCCTGCCAATCCATGAGCATGGGAGATCTTTCCATCTTCTGAGATCTTCTTCAATTTCTTTCTTCAGAGACTTGAAGTTCTTGTCATACAGGTCTTTCACTTGCTTGGTTAGATTCACACCAAGGTATTTTATATTATTTGCAACTATTGTGAAGGGTGTCATTTCCCTAATTTCTTTTTCAGTCTGTTTATCTTTCATGTAGAGGAAGGCTACTGATTTGTTTGAGTTGATTTTATAACCAGCCACTTTGCTGAAGTTGTTTATCAGGTTTAGGAGTTCTCTGGTGGAAGTTTGGGGGTCACTTAAGTATACTATCATATCATCTGCAAATAGCGATATTTTGACTTCTTCCTTTCCTATTTGTATCCCTTTGACTTCTTTTTGCTGTCTAATTGCTCTGGCTAAGACTTCCAGTACTATATTGAATAGGTAGGGGGAGAGTGGGCAACCTTGTCTAGTCCCTCATCTTAGTGGGATTGCTTCAAGTTTCTCTCCATTTAGCTTGATGTTGGCTACTGGTTTGCTGTAAATTACTTTTACTATGTTTAGGTAGGGGCCTTGAATTCCTGATCTTTCCAAGACTTTTATCATGAAGGGATTTTGAATTTTGTCAAATGCTTTCTCAGCATCTAGTAAGATGATCATGTGGTTTTTTTCTTTAAGTTTGTTTATATAGTGGATTACATTGATGGATTTCCGAATATTGAACCATCCCTGCTTTCCTGGGATAAAACCTACTTGATCATGATGGATGATTGTTTTGATGTGTTCTTGGATTCGGTTTGCTAGAATTTTATTGAGTATTTTTGCATCGATGTTCATAAGGGAGATTGGTCTGAAGTTCTCTTTCTTTGTCGGGTCCTTGTGGGGTTTGGGTATGAGTGTAATTGTAGCTTCATAGAACGAATTGGGTAGTGTTCCTTCTGTCTCTATTTTGTGGAATAGTTTGAAGAGAATTGGTATTAGGTCTTCCTTGAAGGTCTGATAGAATTCAGCACTAAAACCATCTGGTCCTGGGCTTTTTTTAGTGGGGAGGCTTTTGATGACTGCTGCTATTTCCTGAGGGGTTATGGGACTATTTAGATGGTTTATCTGCTCCTGGTTTAACTTCGGTACCTGGTATCTGTCTAGGAAATTGTCCATTTCATCCAGGTTTTCCAGTTTTGTTGAGTATAGGCCTTTGTAGTAGGATCTGATGATTTTTTGAATTTCTTCAGTTTCTGTTGTTATGTCTCCCTTTTCAGTTCTGATTTTATTAATTTGGATACTGTCTCTTTGCCCTCTGGTTAATCTGGCTAAGGGTTTATCTATCTTGTTGATTTTCTCAAAGAACCAACTCCTGGTTTTATTGATATTTTGTATTGTTCTTTCTGTTTCTATTTGGTTGATTTCAGCCCTGAGTTTGATTATTTCCTGCCTTCTACTCCTCCTGGGTGTATTTGCTTCTTTTTGTTCTAGAGCTCTTAGTTGTGCAGTCAACTTGTTAGTGTGTGCTCTTTCCAGTTTCTTTTTGTAGGCACTTAGAGCTATGAGCTTTCCTCTTAGCACTGCTAAGAGGAGTGGAGTCCCACAAGTTTTGGTATGATGTGTCCTCATTTTCATTGAATTCTAAAAAGTCTTTTATTTCTTTCTTTATTTCTTCCTTGACCAAGTCATCATTGAGTAGAGAGTTGTTCAGTTTCCATGTGTACGTGGGTTTTCCATTGTTTTTGTCATTATTAAAGACCAGTCTTAGTCCGTGGTGATCTGATAAGATGCAAGGGATTATTTCAATCTTTTTGTATCTGTAGAGGCTTGTTTTGTGACCAATTATATGGTCTATTTTGGAGAAGGTACCATGAGGTGCTGAGAAAAAGGTATATTCTTTTGTTTTAGGATGAAATGTTCTATAGATGTCTGTTAAGTCCATTTGGTTCATAACTTCTGTTAATGTCAAAGTGTCTCGGTTTAGTTTCTGTTTCCATGATCTGTCCATTGCTGAGAGTGGGGTGTTGAAATCCCCCACTATTATTGTGTGAGGTGTAATGTGTGTTTTGAGCTTTAGTAAAGTTTCTTTTATGTATGTAGGTGCCCTTGCATTTGGAGCATAGATGTTCAGAATTGAGAGTTCACCTTGGTAGATTTTTCCTTTGATGAGTATGAAGTGTCCTTCCTTATCTTTTTTGATTAATTTTGGATGAAAGTCGATTTTATTTGATATTAGAATGGCTACTCCAGCTTGTTTCTTGGGACCATTGGCTTGAAAAATTGTTTTCCACCCTTTTATTCTGAGGTAGTGTCTGTCTTTGTCACTGAGGTGCGTTTCTTGTATGCAGCAAAATTCTGGGTCTTGTTTGTGTATCCAGTCTGATAGTCTGCGTCTTTTTATT